TGTTAGCGAAACCACCATTGCCCCCTGTAGACCTTATATGCGCCCCAGATTAAACCTAAATACCCAAACAGGGCCGCAGCCCTTTACGGATAACGTCGCACCAGGATGCTATAAAAAATGTTAAACCCTTGGAGCCAATTCCCAAATGTTCTGGAAATATGCTTACCTTTTCTCTGTCTCTGGAACCTCTCCCCGCCCTGGTCTCTTCAGAGAGTCTTTGTCTAAAGAAACCAGCGAGAGAAGTTCAACATACTCACCTCTAAAAATTCTTTCTCGGGCATCCTGAGGCACATGGAGGCCCAAAGGACCGTCTCCCTTCCTTGCCGTCTGCCTCTGGATCTCCTCACTGGGCTGGGCAATAAGCGCGTAGGAGGCTGCAATCATCTGGCCCTCTTTCCACCGTTTGTAGCTACCTCCATCTCTGCAGGCACTGAAACCACTCCCGGACTTCTCTCCACACCAGCCAGCACATCCTCCAGCGAACCGGATCCATGGCAATCAGGATGGGCCTGTAACAAGGCCACCACTGCCTCTCTGGACACCGCTGACATCCTGGCCCGATACCCGGTCTCTTGCCTGCTGCCTAGGGTGATTTCTAAGCCCTTTCTCTGCAGTGAATATAAATATTTTTGTATTCATTTTTTTTATATATATATATATATATATTTGTTTACTTTGTTCAATTAGAAACTACAGCCTCTGTTAAAGCTAGCTTCACTACGCTTCTGTCAGAAGACTGGTGAGTACCCTCCCCTTTCACCCCTTCTTATTAAATACTTAAGTTGCAACAAAGTAACACTTTGGTTCCATCCCCTTATCCCTGACATCAGTCATGTCCTCCCTTCTTTATCTTTCTAGGGAGGTTCTTTCCTCCACTTGAGATTCTTGTGGCACAATCCGTCTCATCCTTATTAGCTGGCTATATGGAAGGCCATCCTTTAAATGAGTTGAGTGATAGCTACTGTAAATTAATAAGTTATATCCATGGTTTAGTGTAAACATTAGTGTATAGTCTGATTTGCACATCCAGAAAGAAGTCATAGTCAAGGTTACAGATCTCGGTAAATTCGTATTGTTGTCCAGGCCATTGAGTTGTTTAAAAAAGATATCCGTATGATTTTCTGTTCTTTCAGTTCCTCCCAGTTGCTTAAATTAGGCTTTCTTCTAACAATAGGTCACATTTAGGCCACACATTTGTTTGGTGAACATTTAGGTGAGTTTGGACATGCGATTATGCAAGGATGAATTTTATAAAAGAGTACTGACTATGGCTATACTGGCTTTATAAAGTCTGACTACCATAGTCCTGAAGATAGAGAAGAGCTCAATACACTCGGTAAGACAAAGCTTCTCTGAGTTACTAATTGAAGTACACACATGTATATGCCACATGTTTTAAAATCTGACACAAAGTCCAAGCGGACTCTTGTTCCGATCAAGGAATGTGGCAATGATTGCTGTTATCTGTGCTTTGTGACTTTCTCCGAGAGTGGAAGAATATATATTGTTTGGATCTTCCTGCTTATCTAAATCAGCAAAGACCAAGATATTGTCACAAATTAGTAACACAATATACACAATAATAACACAATAATAACACAATAATAACACAATAATAACACCCCAAAAGGTAATAGAAAACACCTAAACCGGCAGTTACCTGACTGGTTTTATTGATCTGCTTTACTTTCTCAAATATAATTTGACATTGATTTCAAAGCTGTGAATATTGGCTCGTTGTATCACCAGGTCACACCCTTAGAGCTACTTTAGTCTGAGCTGGCCTGACCTTTACACATTTACTTGACCCCCAGAATGGCAGTCAGATTAATTCTTGGATCGAGAATCTAGGCAGAGTACAGAATATTTGATAGGGTCCTAACCTCAACATATGAGGAAAGGGATTTAGGGGTGATTATTTCTGATGACTTAAAGGTAGGCAGACAATGTAATAGAGCAGCAGGAAATGCTAGCAGAATGCTTGGTTGTATAGGGGGAGGTATTAGCAGTAGAAAGAGGGAAGTGCTCATGCCATTGTACAGAACACTGTTGAGACCTCACTTGGAGTATTGTACACAGTACTGGAGACCGTATCTTCAGAAGGATATTGATACCTTAGAGAGGGTTCAGAGAAGGGCTACTAAACTGGTTCATGGATTGCGGGATAAAACTTACCAGGGAAAGGTTAAAGGATCTTAACATGTATAGCTTGGAGGAAAGACGAGACAGGGGGGATATGATAGAAACATTTAAATATATAAAGGGAATCAACACAATAAAGGAGGAGACTATATTTAAAAGAAGAAAAACTACCACAACAAGAGGACATAGTCTTAAATTAGAGGGACAAAGGTTTAAAAAATAATATCAGGAAGTATTACTTTACTGAGAGGGTAGTGGATGCATGGAATAGCCTTCCAGCTGAAGTGGTAGAGGTAAACACAGTGAGGGAGTTTAAGCATGCGGGGGATAGGCATAAGGCTATCCTAACTATAAGATAAGGCCAGGGACTAATGAAAGTATTTAGAAAATTGGGCAGACTAGCTGGGCCGAATGGTTCTTATCAGCCATCACATTGTATGTTTCTATGTTGCAAAGAATCTTAAATTGTGCCCTATATCTAACTGGAAGCCAATATAGAGACTGACAGAGGAGAGAGGCGTGGGAGGTGCGGGCGGACAGGAAAATGAGCCTCACCTCCGCATTCATTATAGATTGCAGCGGTTCAATCTGGGAACACGTAAGACCACTGGGAAGCAGGGCCGGACTGGCCCACCGGGATACCGGGAAATTTCCCGTTGGGCCGCGGCACCTGGGGCCGGTCTGACAGCCCTGATCCCGGCCGGCTATGTGTGAGCTGTGCGGCCGCACAGAGCCCCATGGGAGCAGGGGGAGCCAGGCGGCCGTCACAGCTCACACATGGCCGGCCGGGATCATAAAAAATAAATTAAAAAAATTTGCAGCGGGGGCGGGGCTTAGCGTGCGGCGGGGGCGGGACTTAATGTGCGGCGGCCTGGCTGACTGCAGCATGGGAAGCAGGAAGGAGTCCCTGCTTCCCCAACAACCAGCCTCCAGGAGCAACAAACAGGAGGTAAGGAGGAGGTCAGTGTGTGAGTGTGACTGTCTGTGTGAGTGTGTGACTGTCTGTGTGAGACTGTCTGTGTGAGACTGTCTGTGTGACTGTCTGTGTGACTGTGTGTGTGACTGTGTGTGTGACTGTCTATGTGAGTGTGTGACTGTCTGTGTGAGACTGTCTGTGTGAGACTGTCTGTGTGAGACTGTCTGTGTGACTGTCTGTGTGACTGTGTGTGTGACTGTGTGTGTGACTGTCTATGTGAGTGTGTGACTGTGTGTGACTGTCTGTGTGAGTGTGTGACTGTCTGTGTGTGTGACTGTCTGTGTGACTGTCTGTGTGAGACTGTGTGACTGTGTGTGTGTGACTGTCTGTGTGAGACTGTCTGTGCGAGACTGTCTGTGTGTGACTGTCTGTGTGTGACTGTCTGTGTGAGTGTGAGACTGTCTGTGTGAGACTGTCTGTGTGAGACTGTCTGTGTGAGACTGTCTGTGTGAGTGTGTGACTGTCTGTGTGTGACTGTCTATGTGAGTGTGTGACTGTCTGTGTGTGACTGTCTGTGTGAGTGTGTGACTGTCTGTGTGAGACTGTCTGTGTGAGTGTGTGACTGTCTTGTGAGACTGTCTGTGTGTGACTGTCTGTGTGAGACTGTCTGTGTGAGACTGTCTGTGTGAGACTGTCTGTGTGAGACTGTCTGTGTGAGACTGTCTGTGTGACTGTCTGTGTGACTGTCTGTGTGACTGTGTGAGACTGTCTGTGTGACTGTGTGAGACTGTCTGTGTGACTGTCTGTGTGTGAGTGTGACTGTCTGTGTGAGTGTGTGACTGTGTGAGACTGTCTGTGTGAGTGTGTGACTGTCTGTGTGAGACTGTCTGTGTGAGACTGTCTGTGTGAGACTGTCTGTGTGAGACTGTCTGTGTGATACTGTCTGTGTGAGACTGTCTGTGTGATACTGTCTGTGTGTGACTGTCTGTGTGAGACTGTCTGTGTGAGACTGTCTGTGTGACTGTCTGTGTGACTGTCTGTGTGAGACCGTCTGTGTGACTGTCTGACTGTCTGTGAGACCGTCTGTCTGTGTGAGCGTGACCGTCTGTGTGTGATGCGGACTGTCCGTGTGAGTGTGACCGTGCGTGTGAGTGTGTGACTGTCTCGTGTGTGACCGTCCGTGTGAGACTGTCTGTGTGGAGACTGTGTGACTGGGTTCGTGGAGATCAACTGCGTGAGACCGTGACCACCCGTGTGTGACTGTCTGTGAGAATCGTCTGTGGAGACCGTACCCGTTCGCGTGACTGTCTGTGTGAGACTGTGTGACTGTCTGTGTGAGACTGTGTGACCTTCTGTGTGAGACTGTCTGTGTGAGACTGTGTGACTGTCTGTGTGAGACTGTGTGACTGTCTGTGTGTGACTGTCTGTGTGAGACTGTGTGACTGTCTGTGTGAGACTGTGTGACTGTCTGTGTGTGACTGTCTGTGTGAGACTGTGTGACTGTCTGTGTGAGACTGTGTGACTGTCTGTGTGTGACTGTCTGTGTGAGACTGTGTGACTGTCTGTGTGAGACTGTGTGACTGTCTGTGTGTGACTGTCTGTGTGAGACTGTGTGACTGTCTGTGTGAGACTGTGTGACTGTCTGTGTGTGACTGTCTGTGTGAGACTGTGTGACTGTCTGTGTGTGACTGTCTGTGTGAGACTGTGTGTGTGAGACCGT